CGGTGCATTCCTTAAGCCCCCAGTACATTTCCCAGCCAAATTTTCAAAGTCGCGGCTTGCATGCTGCCACAACTTTCAGGGTTCGGCCACCGGAGCAAAACAGTTGGCGGCACCAGTGCCGGTTCGTTTCTTGTTGGCACACAACACCGTGTCTCCGGCCCAGAGAAAAGTGCCTCGAAAGTTTAACCCCCCCCCCCCTTCCGAGCCTYTTTTGACCCTCTTTTCCCTGTTGCGGATTTTTGCTGCTCACCAAAGGCACAACGAACCCAGRCACTCTTTTTTATCGTCGTTGCCTTGCGTCACCAACAAAAAAGGTCCAGGAGACAAAGGGCGTCGCTCCACTACTGTCCACAGTCCAATTTCGGACAGTGCGACGTCGCTACACTTGCTGTCCACTGTACAAGATAAACATCAGTCGGACAGTGCTCAGAAATCATGTGGACAATCAGCTGTCCAGCGATGTGCAATCAGCTGTCCAGCCTGCAAAAGTCGCTGCAAGGAAGGTCCTTGCTCCAACCCACGGACCCAACTCCTTTTTGGACAGTGAGCCTGGTGTCTTGGGGGGGAAACACTCTATTGACTCCATGTTTGCTTGTGAACTCACGAAACTAGAGAGTGTACAGTGTACAGAGGAAGTGGAGCGATGCGGGCCAGGGATAAAATCTTTTGTTTCTCTTTCGAAGGTTTCATCAAATGAATATATCCCGYTTTCTGTTAAAATGAGTGGCTGGTGAGACTCTCTCCCTCGGCTATTTGACTTCTGTCTCTCAAGAGAGCGAGAGAAAGGAAGTTTGGGCTCAAACTGTAGTGTATTTTCTCGTACTTGGGCGGCGGAAACGGCAAGGGAGCGACCCCCCGGACCGGGAGATTGTACGATAGTTAGAACAGTAGGAGGCGGGGGACGAGATCGCTGCATACTGCTGTCGATTGTGACAGGCTGCCGGCTGCTATTGGCTGTTGTTGGCCGGTGTTGGTTGCTGCAGGCTGTGGCAAGCAGCTGCTGCTGACTGTTGCTAGTTGCGGCTGGCTGCTGCTGACTGCTTCCTAGCGTGCAGGTTGCTACAAGACCATGCCCCTCGCTGCKTCAGCCCGYTGACCGTCCGGCGACTGTTGCGGAACGATTGCTAGTTAGTAACTGTCACTAACTGTTGGTGAATGAATGCTACGAACTGCTGTTTGCTGCTGACTGTGCACAGACTGCCGTTGCGGGTTGCTGTTGGTTGTGTATAAGCGGCTGCTGTGTATTATGCACGACCTGCTGCCTACTCATTGACCACTGCACACTACTATTGYTGCTGTGTTTGACTTTGCACAACTGCGGTTGCTGATGGGGTGTGCRTGGGCTATTGTTGTTGGTTGTTGTTGACTGTGCACGGGTCGCGGGGCGCGGCTGCGTACTGCGCCCAGGTTGCTATTACCGCTTGCTGTTGAGTACTGCATACTGTTGCGTGCAGCTTTGAGCCGCTGAAGACTGCGGCTGAGGACAGCTGTTGCCGGCAGCCACCACTATTGTTGTTGACCGCCGTCGTGTACTGCTGCTGCGTCTATGGACTGTGGGCGGACTGTTGCTGCTGGCAACTGCTGCTGTTGTTGTGGACCGCCACTATGTATTGTTGCTGCGTTTATGAACTGTTACGAGCTGCTGTGCGGCCGCGATTGAGCTGAGGAGAGATGGTGAGACTCGGGGAGGAGATCAAACTGGACAAGTAGGGGGTTAGTGCTGCGATTTGTAAGATTAACAGAGGGTTGACTTTGACAATTGACGTCAGGAGTTGACCAAGCTGTTACATTGGTTGCCATTGGGGGACCCTCAGGCGAGTGAAGGTATCAAGGCCCTCTCCTGAGAATTGAGTTGTCCCCTTCCTGAATCTCGAGAATCTGAAACCCCTTGCATTCTGCCTTTCTTACTCTAAGTCTAGTCCAGTTATGAGAGGAAGGCGGCAGACGGGATTGCAACCCATAGGACCGCAACAAGACTCTTTAGGGAGTCAGCCCACCGATTGCGAGAGCTCTGCCGGAACCTAGGCGAGGTTCTGGAGGCAGGGAACCATCAGGTAAACTATCTTTATCTGTACTATTCCCCCTATAATTTGATTGACGTATTCATGCCTGTCCCTATGATTTTTGTTTTCTCTTCAGGATATAACCAGACTAAGTAAAGGAACGTATGTGCAATATCACTTTCATTTTTATTTGTTTGACTGAAAGTGGATTGTGGGTTTGCATCTGGGGGAAGGGTGGGAGAAAGGCTRYATTGCATGAAGTTTGACCAGGTCAACCAAGGGCTGGGCCAGTTCCATAAGTTTGGGAAGGCCCGGTGCTATGTTTATTTTGAATTGCCGGGAGAACCAGACATGTTCCATAAGTTTCGGTAGTCTGGCTGCTCTGACTTGTGAGGGTTGCTTGCGGTTGACTTTTCAGGAGTCAGTAAAATTCATCAGTTTGGGTAGTCTGGCGGTCTTGTTTACTTTGGGTTTCTGTCGATTTCTTTTTGCCTTGGCTTTGAGAGAAATATTATCTATGAACAGACTAGTCAGACAGAGTTCCATAAGTTTGGATGGTCTGACTATAGCCTATCACCAACTTAAGAGAGTATTAATGAAGAATGAGTCTTGAGTTGAAGATGATCGGCTCAGTTATATGCTACCTCAAAAGACTAAGTGCAGATAATTATATAAATTTTGGATATTTAAACATTTCAGGGCGGCTAGGGTGGCCTAGTCACATGGCCAAAGAAGAGAAAAGTTGTTGTGCCCTGTGTGTGTGTATACTCCATGGTTGAGCTAGACATGTTCCATAAGTTTGGGTGGTCTAGCTTTATGCCGTATATAAGCTGGGTATAAAGAGATAAATCATTGAAAGACTATGAACTATTGTTTGTTAAGTTTACTTTGGATGACGAAAGTACTTACCTTTGTGTTTTGGCTTGTATGTGACTAAGTGAGGCCACTACTTAGTTTGAGTTTCAGTTTGATAGGTAGTTGCTTTAGTTGCTCGCCACATGCTAGAGCCATAGGAGTTAGTTTCAATTTTTGCATTTTCTGGGATTTTTTGTTATACTTGGCCTTGTATAAATGTTGGTAAGCCACTTTCTCTACGGGAAGCGCTGCCGAAATTTCTACAAAACCGAGAAGTCAATCAAATTTTGTCTTTCTCAGGGTCCAACTTCTCTGACCTTTTGGCTTAGCAAAATTTCGGAACACCTATTTTTCTAAAG